ACATGAGTTGTACAGCCCATGTGCAAGAAACACCACGGGCAAAGGAGAGCTGCAGCAAGAGCAGCTTGTCCAGTTCACCACCTGCCACAAAGATCCAGCTGCAGGCTGGCTGAACTCTCTTGCGAAGGGTGTCTGTAGCTACCAGACCTAAAATACATTTTGCAGACTAACAACTTTTCTGTTGCTAAATAGGTATCAGTACACAGAAAACCCAGATCAACTATCTCTTTATGTGCACATTTTTCAGGCTTAAAAGATAGTAGTGTGTATAAAGGTGGTGTCATAAATATTTTTTTTTTTAAATGGAGCAATGTTAATACAAATATTTCAGTAAAGATGCAGAAAACTTTCAGTTTTGAATAACACTGTCTATTTCTGTGCCTCCTTGAACTGCTGCCTTCTTCTTCTTAGAAAATGCATTATAAAAAATCTTTAATGATTTATTGTAAATGATACAGGCCCACCACCTGCTGTGACTTCCCAGGGTGGAGAGGATAAGGTACCCTATTGCTATTGTGACACCCAGCACCAACAATGAGCCAGGCAGTTAACATATAGGGGATTGCTTACAGCTCAGATAAGCAGTACTGAACATTTGCCTTTAAAGAAGACTGAAAGACAAGATTTTTTTCCCAATTGAATATACACAGATGTTTTTCCACTGTAAAAAAAAAAAACAAACCTGTATTTTATCAGAAATATGAGCAAGAAGGTATATTATTTCTGCTAATTAATGCATAAAACTGTAATCTTTCTCATTTTTAACAACTACATTCATGCCATATAAATCAAGCTAATTGGCAGAAACAGAATTACACGTGTCAATAACAGATATCCTATTTTCTAGTTAGGTAAATAGATGCTACTGAAATTTTCTGTTTGTTCATCAAAAGTTCATTACTTATATGTTATTTGGTGGAGGTTTTTCAATAAAACAAATATTTGCATTTAACAAGTATTTTCATAAATAAGTATGTGTTCAACAATACATACCTTCCTTTCCACCCTGTGACATTTTTTCTTGCTTACAACTATTGTTGCAATGCAGCAGAACCAGACACTTTTGATTTTTTTTGTGTTGAAACGTGTCTAAAAGGCAATATTTGGAAACACTGCAACACTGATCTAAGTTTGCAGCCATAGGCAAAGCTGAGGAACTCTGAATCCTTCACCTGATGTCAGTATTAGAAAGGTTTAATACTGTTTGATTCTTTGTGGTGATATTGCAAACTTATGAGAACTCATTTTAGAACCAAACTGCACAGAATAATCCTAAACTACATATTGTTATTAACCCTCTGACTGGTAGTACTTCTGACCTGGGATGAAAGCAGAGCTGCACTGTAGTAAAAAGCAATAGTCTCACAGTGTATAACATGCAGCATTCTGACCCAGAGACCATTGCTCCCCCACTAATACCCTGCAACTGGTCGAATATGACAAAACTGCCACTTGTCAGATGGGACAGAGTAGACTGAACCCAAAGGGCTATCTGTTTCAAGGGGAATTTCACTTATTTCTGATTTTTTTTAGGTTTTGGAGGGGTAAGGTGGGTCGGGTGGTGGTGTTGTCTGTGTGGACCACAACTGGAATATTCCTCAGCCTCACAGGAGACAGGTATTTCAGGGATGCTGTCTTTCAGAGCCCTGAAACACGTTTCCCAGACCACATGGTCTAATGCCACCACAAAGCTCCCAGTGCTGGTGGGCAGAGATGAACTGATAACCAGGGCACAGAGCCACCCCAGGGTCTCAGCCAGTGGCTCTCCCCATCAGAGACTGCAGAGATACCCATGACTAGGCAGTATCCAATTGTGTGTCTTTGGAGTCACCTGCCAGGGCAGGGATTTATCCTGGGTTCTCTGAAAATTTATTAAACACACAAAACATTGCTGACAATGCTCAAGGTTGAAAGAATCAGCACTGCAGATGTGCCAGCAAACACCGTGATAGCTCTAGATAAGGGGTTAGACTGCTGCAGCAGTGTAAAGTACATCATGTTTTTGAAACCAAAAAATGAGAAAGAAAAAAACATTTACATCTACAAATATTTCAATTGCATGCTAGGGTGTGTAAGAAAACTTTGTTGAACTCTCCCTTCCCTGACCTCAACTGCTGCATCATTTTTTTTCATTATTTTAACACAGATATGAAATAGATATGCCAGCCTCAGATGTGCACTTTCTGTGATATTAAAAAAATGTGTGTAAGTTTGTGAAATACCATCCAAAACACTTTTTATCAGGAATCTTTTTTTTTTATGGAATTTTTTTTTTTTTTTTAATAGGACCACCTAATTGTCTTAAAGGTACTAAATGGGAGGCAGGGATCTGAATAAAATTAAGAATGTTAATGAAAATTTACTCTCTAGTTTTCATGTAAAAAAACCTGATCTAAGTTGTGAAAACTGAAAGAAATTTTAGGCATTTTAGCTTTTGATGAAAATATTACATTTTGCATAGAATTCCCCCTAAAATTTTGCCTATCAGCTCTGAAAATAAAGACAAAAGGAATACCCTGAAAACTAAGCCCTGGTGAGGCTATGACACGTGGGCACCTGCAGCTGCATTTTCGGAAAGCACTTTCCAGATCACAGCCAAAACCATCTTTCCTGTCCTCAG